AATTCCGAACATCTGACACATTATGGAAGAAATCCAGAGATCCCAGCCTTCTTGTCACAAGCTGCCTGTCAGCTGTGGAGACGAAGATTTAATAATGTTTTTTTCTCATTTTGTATTTAAGTCGCTCGGGTTTTCTGATTCAGTAGAACAATAAATCATAGAGGAATGGTGTTTTATTTGCTATGGAGGGAAAAGCGGTGTTTCTCTCTTCCCCTCTGTTGCACACACACTATGCATGAATATTATAAATTTAACTAAAACCACGAAGGACATTCTAATATCGTTTGGGTTACCTCGCCTGGCTAACCCAGCTGTTTATTATTCCTCCGTGGGGAACCCTATTGTCCATCTGCACTGAGCTCCATCAGCACCCATCTGCTGTCCCTTTCACCTCACGCTCACCTCCGCTGCCTCTCATCCCCCAGATCTCTGTTACACGACAAAGACCGCTTTATAAATTGACCAAGGTGTAAAACTAAACCCAACAGAAGAAACAAGCTGTGGAATAACTTACAACAATCCAGAATGAACAAGTAGTACTGGGTATAGTAATCTATTTCCTTCAATCTTAGGTTTTTTCACTTTTAATAAGAAGAAAAGGCAACACGAGGATGAATTTCAGTATTTGTAGCTCGCCCTGCATGATCATTTCACCATAACAAGCATGAGTGTCTTAATATGTTAAGCCTTATTTGATGCCCTAAATTAAAGGAAGGCTTAGGGCTCTGCCTAGTGGTTGTAATATCAATTACAGTGAACAGGCTCCTCTGCTATTATTTTAAAGGGATGGATTACCATTAAATTTGGTTCCCAGAAAGTGAAACCTAATGTTTCGTTTTCTGGGAACATAAAAATACGATTCCAGGACTTTCCCTGAAGTCTACTGGCATTTAAGATCTAGCTCCATGTTTCTTCCAGCTCTGTTGAGCACAAAAACATTCACAGAAGCGTACTAAAGTGCAGTACAAGCAAACATCTAATAGATCACAGAAACACACACAGAGACATATAAATATATTGCACATAAATGTCTGTAATGTAGCATAAACATAAATAAAGAACTATATGCTTACCTGGTCTAAGTTTTTAATCAAATAGAACAGAAACATTTTCTATCAGGCTGAACTCCAGAAGAAGTCGGGTCATAGCCACAGCCTCGGTTACTTGTGCAGCTCCAGGCGATGCTTGCAGACTGCATCAAGGCTGGCTTGATTTTCTACAGCAGCGGGGACTGAATGCACTCCAGTCCAGACCTGCACAGTCTAAACAGATAGAATTACAGAAAAGCACAGGCACTCTAGACTACAAGGCTGAATTGTTTTTAAAGGCTAAAATCTGTGACCAAAAGAAGACTTCTCTGCAAAGGAAATAGAAAATGTCAGGCCATTTACAGACTCTAAATCCACTAGGAGGCAGTAATGTTAAAGTTAATTGTCTGCTAAAAGTAATGAGATATGACGCAGATGACTGAAGTCAGCCTCTGTCAAAGGTGGAAGACTTGTATTGTACTTTTACTGTAGAAAACACACCAGCTTATGGCTTCCTGTATGAGTTTCCTTTACTATGTCACAATTTAAATGAATTTTATGTGGTGCACTTTTGGGAAACTCAATGACTCAGTAATGCCAGATCGTACTTTGTCCCTGTTTACTTAGTAAGTTTTCTGGGGGTGTTTGCAATGAACAGTGTTCATTGCAAAAAATAAAAAAATAAAAAATTAAGTATCGCATCTTATTTCAAACAATTAAAAAATTCCAGGAGCCTGGTAAAGAGCTAGGGCAGCCTGAGGGAGGAGGCTGCATTAAGCAGGCCTGTGAGTTGGAAGGGCAAACGTTTGGAGACACCAATTTAATGGTTTGTCTTTAATTTTACTACTTTCTACTTTTTAGACACATACTGAAGACATCAAATATATGAAGCAAGATATATGGAATCATGTAGCAAAGACAAAATGATAAATAACTCTAGATGTGTCTTATATTTTAAATTCCTCAAAGTAGCCACTCTTTGCTTTGTCGACAGCACTGCAAACCCTCGGCCTTCTCTCAATAAGCTTCACGATGTAGTCACCTAAAACGGTTTTCACTTCACAGGTGCACCTTGTCAGGGTTCATTTGTGGAATTTCTTGCCTTCTTAATGGAGTTGGGACCATCAGTTGTGTTGTGCAGACGTCAGGTTGGTACACAGCTGTCAGCCCTATTTGACAACTGTTAGAATTCATATTATGCCAAGAACCAACCAGCTAAGTAAAGAGAAGCGACAGTCCATCATTACTTCATCATTAAGAACTAAAGGTCAGTCAGTCTGAAAAACTTTGAATGTGTAGTGCAGTCGCATAAACCATCAAGCGCTACGACGAAACTGGCTCAAATGAGGGCCGTCCCAGAAAAGGAAGACCAAGAGTCACCTCTGCTGTTGAGGATAAATTCATCCGAGTCACCAGCACCTCAGATTAGAGCCCACATAAATGCCACACAGAGTTCCAGTAGCCAACTCCTAGCTTCCACAGTCACCCGACCTAAACCCAATTGAGATGGTTTGGGATGAGATGGACCGCACAGTGACAGCAAAACGGCCAACAAGTGCTCAGCATCTCTGGGAACTCCTTCAAGACAGTGTCAGATATGGGCAAGCGGAGCAGGAAAGCGGTGTCCTGGATTGCTGGGATGGCATGGCGGTGGCAGTGGTGGGAGAAGAGCAAGGCTGGGGTGAGCCACTGGGAATCAGACAGTTAAATAAAATAATAAAAGTGTAGAAAATGATGTATAAAACACTGGACACAATTTTCAGGCTCGTGCCCTGCATCCTATTATAGATTTATTACATGTAAAGTACAACTGCACATGAATTAAACATAATCTTGTGCTGGGTAAATGCTCTGCAAAAAAGAAAAACTTTGATGAGCCTTTACTCAAGTTAAATTTACACCCCGTTTAAGCGACTTAAGAGTACACAAGTTGTACATTCAAAATAAGCTACCTAAATAAAATGTCCTCATTATGTAGAGACTGGGACTTCTCAGAATTACAATTAGGCCATTATTTTATTGGATAATTGCAGCTGTGGAAGACTTTAATCACTCGTATACTGCTGTGTCATTAGATGTATACAATTCCATTTATTTTAAAGCTGACTTATTATGTTGCAGATAAATTGTGTGGAATATAACAAACAAATGCATGCAAAAAAAGTAGAACTGGAAGAGAAAATACACAGTACATTAAACCTGCACTTTAATGAAGCACTTGGGTAAATGTACTAAGTTGTGTTCCTTTCCACAGCTACTGTGACAGTCAGCGCACATTGGTTTTATTACTGTTTTATATTTTTTCACTGGTTTGATTGTAATTTTATTTAGAATTTTTACTTTCAGTTCTGCTTACTTTTGGTTAGTTTCCAGTGTGTTTGCTAGTTTCAGTTCAGCTTTTATTTTTCAATAATATTCATTTTTGTTCTGAGTATAATTCATTTCACTGACAGCTTAAGTTGCAATATTATTATAATGTGGGTATTGATTTTTCAGGGGAAAGTTTTAAGGTCAGAATAGATATTGCAATATAAACACAATGCCGCATTATAAAGATTAAGGGGAAAGTAAAAAACAAACAAGCATAAACACACTGAAAAAAACTCAAACTAAAGGCATTTCCTCTATATTTTATTTCAATTAGTTTTGTGAGTATAGACAATCAACTCAGTTGGTTCTGTAGCTTTTATTTTTACTTTTTTGCCACCATATGCAATGTTTGTTTAATGCCTAGCCTAACTTCTTAAAGCTTGTCCATAACACCAACAACAGCAAAACACCAACAAAAACATAAGATATAAAAGTTAAGCTAAAAGTAAAACATTTAAAGTTAAAACGGGTGCATTTTGAAATGGGTATAAAGATAAACAGCTGTAAATGTTAAGTTTTTCCAGCAACTTTGCTTTACTTTGACTTCTAAACTCATACAAAATATATACGTTTTGAAAACTAACCATAAGTAATTTGCTTTTTGGTCTATATAATTCAAACTTTTCACTTAAGAGTGGTTTATCCTTACTAAAAAGCAGACTGTCAATCTGCATGCTAGCCAACAACAACTTTATGTAGCATTGCTGTATGCTAATTACAAACCTTTATCCTGATATTAAACCACTTTTACACACATAAAGTTCACAGAGAGGATGCAGACGCCCTCTTTATGCAGTGTACTAGTTAACATTTTACTTTAAAGAGCTGCTGTAAGGCGGGTGTTGTCGAAATACTCGGACTGAACGTGGAGAAATCGATTACTTCTCAGTAACGACCTCTCCGCATAGTGTGGCGAGCTAGCAACAGTGAGAGCGCTGACCTGCTGCAGTTGTGTGAGGGCGCCACTGGGAGAATCCCTCTCTCCGCTCCCTCTGTCTCCACAGCTCCGTTTTCCCAAAGAAAAGAAGAGGAGAACTAGGTCCGGGGAGGAGGAGGGCCGCCATTACGGAAAGCTGACAGAAATACCACTTTCACACGCGCAATCTGCTCCTAAATTGATCGGGACATGAGCAGTTTGTGTTGCAGCAGAAGGCATTTCTTAAGCGAAACAGCACCGGCGATTGCATCAAACTCACCGTTGTCTCGTGTGCGCGACCGGCCCAGCGTTATGTGGGCACAACAATGGACAGAATAATTATTGAAAAAGCAACGTGGTGAACCGGGAGGAGAAGACGACTGAGTAGATTTTTTTTTCTTTTTTTAAACACGCGTCTCAATCTCGCACTGGTGAAGAAAGCGTTGCGGGAACAGAAATCGGATTGTTCTATTGTTCGGGATATTTATTTCTTGCCTTTCCCGTGTTTGATTTCAGTTAAAACATTAGTGCAAGGAAAAAAACAAAACAGGAGAAATCCAGACATGGGTGAAGGATATTGTATTCAGATGAGCACATCGCACAAATTGTAGAGGTATCGGTTTCATGTGCGAATAGTTCCGACCCACAGTGCATTCTCTGCGGCTGCTTATGCACATCAGGCGGCGGCGAGGGCTGCGGCAAGAGCTGGCCTGACAGATGCAAGAGGAGAAAGGGGGAGAAATGCAATGGTATGTATTCTACGTGCTCGCTCTGCTTTATTGGCTATTTCCTAGCGAAGCTGTCGAGTGCTACACCCCAAGACAGCTGGGTAAATACATTCCCGTGAAAGGTTGTCTGTCTGTCGGTGTGCAGGAGGTAAGGCTATCCCGGCTCTCCGGCGCTGCCATTTCATTATGTAGACAGCAGGCCTGGCGTGGTCACCCCTCTCTGTGCACCCTCAAGCCCGTGTTAACTGTTAATCCTTTTGCAGAACATATAAGGTTACACAATCTTAGCTTTAAAAAAAGTAGGTTGTGTGAAGGGAATTGATTAAAAGGGCGCTTTGGTGTGCTGTTTTGCTGATGGCGTTTTGGTAAAGGCATGCTGGTTGGTTTTTTTTCTTGATTTGAAAAGAACTTGTCTGCTCATTTGGATATCAGGCCTTGCTCAGCTGAGCTGTTTGGACTGCCCATGTTTGCTTCCGACCCCACCATGAAGTCATGGTCATATGGCAGGTTAAATATTTCTTCATGACTCATGCTTTTTTTGTTTTGTATTTTTAAATGCAGGATTTTTTCACTCAGGAAATCTTATTATACATTAATTAACCTCTGCATATGGTTTATTTTTTAATTTTTTTTAGATCACATTATGTGCCGACTATTGTAGCAGAATTGCATCAGTGCTATAATAATAATAATAATGGAAGCATTAGTCAGTGCCATAAAATTGGCAGTAACATTAAGTGTCTTAAAGGTGTGAGCAAGTCCGTAGCCCTTTGGCAATGATGGTAAGTGTGACTAAGGCTGTTTAATAAGCTCTTCATTCATTTTTTTGGTCAGGGAAGATGCTTTTAAAGATAGCTGCTGTTTCCCTTAGGCTGAAGAGTGTTGACTGAGGCGCTTTCACCATAGTCATTTTAATGCTTGTCACCCCACTCACTGATCAGCTGAGGTCGTCATTTTAACAAAAAGGGGGGGAAAAGTACCACTCCCAACATGTTTCTCCAGGGATTAATGTCATCTTTTGATCCTCTGTAGATGTTTTTAAGGAATTCTGGCGATCAGTACAGCTGGTGTTGAAATGAGTCGATTAAATAAATTTGTCGATCAGATAAAAGATTATTCAAAAATTTAGATGAAGCGCAGTCAAGTGTACTTGCCCATTTTATTCAGTTCATTAATTGAATGTGCAAAAATGAGCCTTCTTCCTTATTTGAGATTGTGTTTGGCCCCCTGCAAGGAGACCACATTGCTGGTATTCCTGTTATTATATGTCTGTTTTCATTACGCTTTGCTGGTGGCAGGATGTATGCCAGTGTGCATATAATATTAATGCAGTGATGTCGGGCAACTTGAAATCAATTAAAAATAATGAGAACCAGTATTGGTTGGTGTTATGGGTTCTTTGTGGCATTTACCATTGAGAGGATTCATCAGTCTTTGTCAAACAAAGGGAATAAGCACAAAATGGATTAATATGTGCCTCCATTATTATTATAGATAGCATCTGTTGTTAAGAAGGATAAAAGTAAAAAATGCCTCATTCAAACTAACAAGTACATTTTTACATCTTAAAGTAGCATAATGCTATTTACTTTTATTATTATAGCTGCTTAAGGGGAAGAAGGGCCTGACATTTGCCCAATCATTCTCTTTCATACTGTTTTGTTTCCCCCCTTTATTTCAAAATGAGTTTTTGGTTGATTGCTTATTTTGTCTGATTTCATTTTTTTTTTGTTCTCTGTTTCTTTTGACAGGATCTGATTCATGCAACGAGTGAATGAAAGAACCGTCTGCTCATATCACTGCGGCGCTGTCTTATTATAATTTAAGCCCCAGCAGACGAAAGAGAAATCTGATCTCCTTTGTAGATCAGCAACTTTATGGACAAACATTCAAGTGAACTCCTTCATACAGTGCCTGTTTAAGGCAGGATGAGTGTCAGCAGGCTATGATGGCCAAAAAGCAAGATGCGCGGTCGCCCATTTACAACCTCATTGTGGTGGGTTTGTCCGGAACAGAGAAAGAGAAGGGACAATGTGGGGTTGGCAAGTCCTGCTTGTGTAATAGGTTTGTGCGTCCTAGCGCTGATGACTTCTACTTGGATCACACGTCTGTGTTGAGCACCAGCGACTTTGGGGGTCGAGTGGTCAATAATGATCACTTCCTATTTTGGGGGGAGGTGTCACGGGTTCTCGAGGAGGGGCCCGAGTGCAGGATGCATGTTGTGGAGCAGACCGAATTCATTGATGACCAGACGTTTCAGCCACACCGTAGCACTGCTATGCAGCCCTATATCAAACGGGCAGCAGCAACCAAGCTGGCCTCAGCAGAGAAGCTCATGTACTTCTGTACGGATCAGCTAGGTCTGGAGCAAGACTTTGAGCAAAAGCAAATGCCAGAGGGTAAGCTGCAGGTCGATGGCTTCCTCCTTTGTGTCGATGTAAGCCGTGGCATGAATCGAAACTTTGACGACCAGCTGAAATTTGTCTCAAACCTGTATGGTCAGCTGAGCAAGACTAAGAAGCCCATTGTGCTGGTCCTCACCAAATGCGACGAAGGAGTAGAGCGCTACATTAAAGATGCACATACCTTTGCTATCACAAAAAAGAGTCTACCGGTAGTTGAGACATCGGCACGCTCAAACATAAATGTGGACCTCGCCTTTCTCACTTTGGTTCAGCTTATCGACAAGAGCAGGGGCAAGCCTAAGATCATCCCATACTTTGAGGCCCTAAAACTCCAGAGTCAGCAGATAGCTTCTGCTAAGGATCGCTATGAATGGCTAATCAACCGTATAGTAAAGAATCATAATGAAACCTGGCTAAACACCAGTCGACGCATGAACAACTCCCCAGAGTACAAAGAATATGTCTTCTTGGAGGGAACGGCTAAATGCAAGAAACTTTTTCAGCAGCATGTCTACCGTCTGAAGCAGGAACATATTGAGAGGCGTCGGAAAATATACGTAAGCACTCTTCCTTTAGCACTTAGCTCTTTAGTGCCTGACCTGGATGAGATTGATCAGCTGAGCTGGTCTGGGGTACAGAAAGTCCTTGAGTCCAAGCAACACTTCACCCACTGGTTTGTTGTTCTGGAGGACTCGCCATGGGAGGATACGTCTCACATCGACAACATGGAAGATGAGCGAATCCCTTCTGACCTGTTGGAGACTGCTGAAGCAGAAGAAATTTTTAATGCCCACCTGGAGCATCTGCGCAATGAGTGCAAACGGGCGGAGATGAGGCAGGAGTTTAAGCAGAGACTGGCTTCCTCCCCCTTCGTAACACCTGGTAAACCTTGGGAGGAGGCCCGGAGCTTCATCATGAATGAAGAGTTCTACCAGTGGCTTGAGGAGCCAGAATACCTGGATCTCTATAATCGGCACCAGAAGGAGATCATTGACCGTGCTAAAGAAGACTTCCAGGAGCTTCTGCTGGAATACTCTGAGCTTTTTTATGAGCTTGAAGTGGATGCTAAACCCAGCAAGGAGAAGATGGGGGCAATCCAAGAGGTTCTTGGGGAGGAGCAGAGGTTCAAGGCACTACAGAAGCTTCCTGCTGAAAGAGATGCTTTGGTATTAAAACATATCCACTTCGTCTATCATCCCACAAAGGAGACCTGCCCTAGCAGTCCACACTGCGTAGACTCTAAGATTGAGCAGCTGTTAGCATCACGTTTTCCCTCCCATTACCCCTTTTTTGACGTGAAAGCTCATTTTGGGGACACCAAGGCTGACAGAATAAACCTCGTTATACTTGGGAAGGATGGACTAGCCAGAGAATTTGCCAATGAGATTAGAGCTCTCTGCACAAACGATGACTGGTATGTGTTAGACGGGAAGATGTACGAACTGACGCTGCGACCTATTGACGGAAATGTACGTCTTCCGGTAAATTCTTTCTACACCCCCACTTTCACTCCTCATGGGTGTTTGTGTTTGTATAATTCAAAAGAATCACTTTCTTATGTGGTGGAAAGCCTCGAGCGACTTAGGGAGTCAACTCTGGGCCGAAGAGATAGCCAGCTAGCACAGCTGCCGACTTCACTGCTTTTAGTCACTAAACGAGGTGTAGGATCATACGTTGATATAGGTGGTGACACTGCCTTAAACTTGATAACACAGGGGCAGCAGTTTGCAAGGAGATTGCAGTGTAGCTTTTTAGACCCCGCCTCCCCCGGTGTGGGCTACGGCCATAACATAAGTGAGACCCAAATAAACCAGGTGCTGAGGGGCCTTCTGGATATTAGGAGGAGCACATCTTTTAGTAGCAGCTCCCCACCTCTCCTCCCTGAGCCTCCAGGTCTCCGAGACTCTCAGCCAGTCCCAGAGGCAGACCTTCGCATTGTCATGTGCTTAATGTGTGGAGACCCCTACGACACCGAGCAGCTCCTGTCGCCTTTCTTAATGCATCAGCACTGCAGGCCCATGTCTAATAGCGGCACCTCCGTGTTGCTGGAGCAGACAGTTGGTGGACATAAGCTGGCTATAGAGCTCTCTCTGCTTTCATACCACGCCTCCTTCACTTTGAGGAAGAGCAGGTTAGTGCACGGCTACATTGCAGTCTACTCGGTCTCCCGAAAGGCCTCCCTGGAGACCCTTTGTGCATTCTTGTGCGAGGTGCAGGACATCATCCCTATTCAGCTGTTGGCAGTCGGAGATAGCCAGGCAGAGCTCACTGACAGCGATTATGCCTGTGAACAGCTGATCCAGGGGGAGGAACTAGCCCATGAGATTGAGGGTCGCTTCAACAGCGTGGTTTGTGGGTCTGGAGGGGTGGTGGGGGGCCTCCACAGGATAGAAATGTTTCATCCGTTTCTGATGGAGGTAGTAGAGAAGCGCAACATCGTGGAGGCCACGCACATGTACGATAATGTCGCTGAAGCGTGTACCAATGAAAATGTCTACTCCCCGCGCTGCAGCTCTCCTAGTCCTGTCACTATGTTCCTGGATTCCGAGGACGACGTAGAGCCGTCGCCACCGTACTATGATGGCACGCTCACATCTCACAGTAGCGGTTTCAACATGCCCGACTTAGATTCCAGTGACATCTCTGTCATATCTGATATCAGGGACTTTGAGAACAAACTGAACAACAAAGTACCCCCCCAAGTGAGAGTGAAACCAGGCGTCACTTTCGATTTCCGGAAAATGAGCCGTAACCCATATATCGACACGCTGGGTCATCGGCGGTCCTTACCCTCTGCTGTCACCTGGGTTCCTGGTGGCGACATGGGATACGATCCCTCAGACTACGCCGAACCCATTGACGCCGTTTCAAAACCCCGCCCGAGCAACGAAGAGATCATCTACTCGGTACCACATGACAGCACACAAGGAAAAATCATCACCATCCGCAACTCAAACAGGATGCACTCCAATGGAAACGGCTCAGACAGCGAAGCGGACAGCAGCTCTCTGGAACGAAGGAGGAAGTTCTCTGCAATTGGCGTGAAGCCTCGTCTTTACCGTGACCGCTCTAAGCGGCTGGGCAAGTTCAGTAGCTTTCGCACAAGCTTCATAGGCAGTGATGACGAGATGGGAGCTCTTCCAAAGTCCAAAGAAGATGACTTTGGGACCCTTAAAGGTGAAAGTCTAGTGAATGAGGAGAGCGAAGACCCAAAGAAGAGGAACATTCTGAAGAGCCTGCGGCGGACAGCCAAGGTGTGTTATTATTGAGAAAAGCCATTTGTCATGTTGCATAGCTTTCAAATTAGTGGAATGACTGGACATTTTGTTAGAAGCCATGGAGTGCACCTTGGTGTCAGCGTAATTATTGCTTTGAGATACTAAGAGTTTCGTTCTTTTTCTTTTTTCCTGCAGAAAACTAGACCAAAGCCCCGTCCAGCTATTCCCAAGCCCTTGGAGAGCAACTACTTCGGGGTCCCCCTGGTGAATGTGGTATCCCCAGACAGACCGATCCCTCTCTTCATTGAAAAGTGTGTCCGCTTCATTGAGACAACAGGTAAGTGCCTTTTTTTCCTCGTTAATTAACAGCTTATTTCGTGCTGTTCCTTTAATTGTGTTTAAAGTTTCATTCAGAGAAATTCTCACTGCACTCATCACTTATCAGGTTTTTAATTTGTACTTTTGGTAAAGGTCTTTTATGGAATTTATTTTAGTGATTAATCATCTTCACATTCCTGCAGAGTTCCTAAACCCATGCACCTGCTCATGACCATAATGCAATGTGAAATTAATAGTAGGGTGCGTTTAATCTTCAGCATCTGTTTAATCTTCGGCGTCTGTGTTGCCTCGTCTGTTTGCAAAGGGGCTGATGAAGTGTTTGTGCTTTGCTTGTTTCCCACTGTGACACCCATCCACGTCTTTCCCCTTTTCTCTGCTTCGCTCGTTCTCCTTCAGGCCTGAATACGGAGGGTTTGTACCGCGTAAGCGGCAACAAGTCGGAGATGGAGAGCATGCAGAGGCAGTTTGAGCAGGGTGAGTTGCTCATTGTACTTGTTTGAACCAGCTGTAATTATGTGACTGCCTAATCAAAACATGAGCAGGGTTACTGGAAGAAAGTGACACAGAACTCATTGCTCATTCCCGATGAATGCTACGACTGACGGGTGTTAACTGTCATTCTCCCTGTGCAGACCACGGATTAGACCTAGTGGAGAAAGACTTCTCCATAAACACTGTGGCTGGAGGCCTCAAAAGCTTCTTCTCTGAACTGCCTGAGCCCCTGGTGCCTTGTGCTCTGCAGGTGGACCTACTGGATGCTTTCAGTAAGCAAACACTGCTGGGCTGGGAGAGTCTTTACTAGAACATAAAAAGATTATTTCTTTAGAAAGGAACAGGGGTGGGAAGGTTTTGGCAGAGCTGCTCCATTTTAGGTGTTTTAGTCTTGACAAACATTTTTCTGACGGCGTAGAGAGACGTTTCAGCTTTAAATCACTGTGTGTGATGAAGTCTTTAAAAAACCATCCTGTTTGTGCAGAAATCAGTGATAGAGAACAGAGGCTGTATACCATGAAGGATGTCCTGAGGAGGTTCCCCAAGGAGAATTATGATGTCTTCAAATATGTAACGAACCACTTACACAAGTAAGTCCCCTGTTTACGGTTTAAATCACTTTCATGCGTTGTAATCTATTTTTTTTTTTGTTTGCTTGTTTTTTACCCCTCCTCCGCTATATGAGAAGGAATCAGTCAGTGTACCTTTCTGTGTTTTCTCAGGGTGAGCCAGCTGAACAGGGTGAACTTGATGACCAGTGAGAACTTGTCCATCTGTTTCTGGCCCACCCTCATGAGGCCAGACTTCTCCACCATGGATGCTCTGACTGCCACGCGCACCTACCAGACAATCATTGAGACCTTCATCCACCAGTGTGCATTCTTCTTCTACAACCAGCCCCTCCTCGACTCCCCCACTGGCCTGGGGGGCCTCCCTGCCTCGCCCACCACCACCCTCGGCGGGAGCTCAGCCTACTCTTGTTACCGCTCCTCTCCACCTCACACCACCCCTCACTTCAGCCCCTTGCAGCAGTCCCCACCCACTACCCCCCAGTCTCCCCTGCAGTCTCTGCTCCCTCCCCTCCACCAGCACCCCCACGCCCACCATTCCCCCGCTGAACAGGAGACACTGTGAGAGACAATGAAACCATGTGTGCCCATGATGATGCTGGACCTTATCACCAACACACACTAAAAGAAAAAAAGAAAAAAAAAAGAAGTAAAAGAAAAAAATGTGCACATGCACATTTCATTTTTGATCATGATGGACAACCCAGGTTATGAGAACTGGAGATGGAAAGTGTCTGAGAAACTTCCCCAACCTGCCAATTATGTTCATGCTTGTGTGCGTCGGAGCGGAGGCTACCATTACCAGTGAAGCTCCTTCCGCCCTCTGATCTCCTGGATGAGTGGATGTCGGGTCAGAGAAGTGGAGGGCAGAGGTCACGGTCACAGCGAGCCACCACTCATCCCATAATACAAAGAAATAGAGACCTCTATGCCAAGCTGGAAGAGAAAGACTTGGGGCCACCGTGTTTTTAGTATGTGTAAAAACTGTTTTTAGTTTCTTTTTCTCTTGAAAGTACTGCCACTGGATTTATAGTCTGGTCCTCTGTAGGTCCTTTGGGCAGCAGTTTGCTCCATATAGCAGAGTTTCCTCTGTGTCTGCCTTTTGGGTTTCTGTCATCGGCTCTACTTGAGGGGTCAGCATGGGGATGGGAGGGAAGGGAACGGTTGGGAGTAACACATCCAGGGATGCACTTTAATGATCACTGTTGGGTTTTTTCTCCTCAAAAGGGGTTTTTCTTTTTTTTGACATAGTTTTTTTTCTTACGTGATTTTAATTTCACAGCTCAAACAGCCATACCCATTGCCACGACAGAGCTCTGGCAGATCAAACTTTGTTTACATCAGACGTGTTTTTTGTATCCACAAACTTATCTGAAGCACTTTTTTTTTTTTTTTTTTTTTTTTAATAGTGTAGTGTTTAAATATGAAGAAATGCCACACGGATTCATTGTTCATGTTTGTTTGTGTAGTGGTCAAGTGTGGCATCAGTACAGGCTTGTGAAACAAGATCCTTTTTGTAAAAAAAAAGAAAAAAAAAGAAAAGGAAAAAAAGTGGATCCGGTGTGGGTGGGTGGGGGTTTCCCATTTTAGGTCGGTGGGAAATCCAAATCCGCTCGTGTTCCTCATTCATCCAGCCATGTGAAAAACTCGTTTTGTTTGTCCTCTTTTCTAGCTGTTGGTCGATCAGAGTGGGCGTATATAGGGATGCTTAGTTCGATTAGGCCGTTGGAATATCAGTGAAGGCTTTGCCTGCCGTCAGTCAAGTGAAGGAGAAAACTTTTGCCATTTTGAATGTGTAACCCAGCAACGCCATACATGCAAATTTTACGCTAGCATCTGTTGTCCACGTAAACCAAACACTTGAAACATGATAGGTTTCCGGACGTGTTGCTGTGGCTGTTTATCAAACCAAGCGCTTTGTATCCGTGTACTATTAACTCTGAAGGTTTAGTATTCTCAACGCACCGTCACTGCTAGTCCTGCTACGGAAACACAATGACCAGTGGAAGTGAAGTACCTGCGGATCGAGACGTTCAGGAAGCACCCGTGGCAGTTTACTTGCTGTAGTTGATTAGTTTTGTGCTGCAATATCGTCCTTCATTTTCGCTGAAAACAAGCAGCACTGATAATGAAGGCCTAACAACTTTAATAACGGTTAAGTCCATGAGAGGAAGCACTGTCTCTTTCAATGAAGGTGGAAGATGTGGACCAGAGGACTGCGGCTCTGCTGTAGTTCTCGGTTGCTATGACCACAGAATAGTGGGATCAACTGTATGAATATTTAGGATCAACAATTACTGGTACTTTTTGGGATCATGATGCTGTTGGAAGTCAGTCATTTTACCTGTTCGTCAGGAGTATAAAATGAGGGCTTTCCTCAAACCGTGCAGTGCTTGCAGCTGAACCTGGCGCAGAACCGACCAGACAACACGATTCCCTGGAGTATATAAATGTTACGGCATCGCTCTCGATGCCCATCCTCGGCAGATCCTGCTGAGGCAAAAAAAAAAAGTGAGTGCGTACTACTCTATGATGGTTGTTTATTTGTATGTTTGGGGGGGAGGGGAGGGGGACACCACCTTTTAGTCAATGGTAGAAAACATTTCTAGTGTGTATTTCAATGATTGAAAGTCCATTTTTACAATTTTGTGAATGGTTCGAGGCCACCTGAGTTTAGTGCATGATTTAAAAAAAATAAACAAAACACACATACACACACATGCGCACACACCAGGGGAGAAGGACGAAAGCCTCCCTCCCTGTTTTAAAACGTGAAATTAGAAGAAAACCAATACTGAAGTGAAAATAGCTGCAACGTGAAAGTTGATGTACTGTGCACCAGAAGCAAACCATGGAATTTGTCTGACTGAGAATAGTGTTTGAAGATGAAGGCCTTATGTGAACTGTATAATAGTTAATAAATTAAATCTTGTAAAATTGTCCCCAGTTTTCGCTGCTGCCTCTGTCTCCCATTGATCCTTTTCTCCGTTCAGGTTTGAAATGAGATTGGAGCTCTGCTGGTAAAAGCGCATTCTTTTGATTATACTTTGCGAAGCCACACAATAGCAGCCAGATGAAGGTTGTCACAACAGTAGAGACCAAGGAATTAAAAAATATCAATCATCCCATTTTGTAAGTTAAAAAAAGTCACTGTTGTGGGAAAATGGAGCGGAGGGCTAATGACAGTTTTTGAAAAGCCATTCTGCACTGTGCTCCCACCCGACAACATATAAGGCTGTTATTTTCCACTTTTTTAGCTGTGGAGTAAATAAGTGTGCTTTTTCTATTACTACTATTTTCTTGATTGACAGCTTAATAAACAAGCACAGCAACGCATGAATAGTCTACATGGCTGCTGGCACATATTGCCAAGGACAATGATTGAAGATTGTGTTGTATGAAACTTTTAATATAATAGTCATAATCATCATCATCATGATAAGGTTATTCTCCACAGCATGCATGCAGAAATACCGTTACAGTAGTAGTAGGAGCTATTAGTGAAGCACACATGGTGCTTGTGACTCTGAAAAGCATCAATTATTCACAGTGTATCCGTCATGAGTGACTGCACGCTTTTGGGCGAGTACTGTCGTCACAGTATCTGTTAACCTCTGTGGGGAAGGGTCAAACATTATAGCGTTATGTCGCCCTCTTGTGGCCATAGATCTGACACTGGGTGGGTGTTTCATTACATCTCGTCCATATTGTACAGTTTTCTGGCGAATCTTTACAAGCGTGTGTCTCTGTGTGTCTGTCCTTATGTACTGCTGTACATTTCTATTGGATTTACTTATTACGATGGGCTTGTGAAAACACGATCACTTCTGTGGCTTAAGAACTTCTTGAAGTGTCAGAAAATAAACCACATGATGTCATAATAATATTATTACCTATCATGGCTCCACTATTCAAATAAAACTAAGGAATCCTGAGCTGAAAGAAGGTGTAGAGTTCAGTATTTTGGACAAGTCAATTCTTTTTCAGTCTTTCTCTTTCCAGTATGCAGATCCAATGGAAATACAAGCAGATGGTCATTAGCGCATATATCTAATCAGCCAATCACATGATTGAGAATGGATTCTTGATGGATTTGAGCATATATATAAATGCATAAAGAAAGGCCTGCTGAAATTCAGAATGAATATCAGAATGGGGATCTGTAGTTTACAGAGAACGGTTTGATATCAGAGATCAGAGGAGAATAGCCTGCTTTGAGCTGACAGGAAGGCAACAGTAACTCTTTGCAACCACGTTATGCAGAAGAGCATCTCTGAACACACAACACATCAAAGCTTTAAGCAGATGTGCTACGGCAGCAGAAGGCCGCACAGGTGCCACCTCTGTCTAAGAACAGGAAATGGAGGCTTCAGTTTGCACGGGCTGAAAACCAGACAATGTAAAACATTGTCTGGTTTGATAGGTCTTGATTTCTACTGCAGCATTTGGTAGGGTCAGAGTTTAGTGTAAACAATATGAAAGCATAAAACATACTTATTTCTGTTCATGGACTTCACTAGAGAGGCTTTGCACAGTTCAAAATAATCCTTGTTTGTCATATTCTGAGTCTAGGTCCATTCCCTCAGTTCATTGTCTGCCTAAATCTGTGTTAGCTCCTTTCCCCTCTTTTAGGCCAGCTGTCTAAGAAGGGTTTGATCAGGATGGGCTCTTGTGCTTAGCGCCACAACCGTGTACCTATGATGACCTTATCGAGGATATTAGGCATCATAAGGAGCCATGTGTAGAAAAATCTGTCTTGTAGAGAATCTTTCAAACATTTTTTTGATTTCCAAGAGTTTTTGGCTTATGGAAATCCATGGAAGATGACCTTTAGAGAGCATCCACCATAATAACAGCATACATATGACAAAACAGAAGGTCAACCATCAAACGTAGCCTCTTAAAATGTTGTATGATGCCAGTCTGCCACAGATTACCACAATTATGTAACTTTTCAAGACTTTTTCATTCACGTGGCAGCTCATTTACTATATGTATATATTTATATATATATATATATGTTCATGAACACTGGTTTGGCTGTAAACTTCATGCGTGTGTAGGTCCAGACATTTTCACAAGACATACAAACAGACCTCTAGATAATGACAGAAGCCGTGACATATGAAAGATAGCTTTATTGCACAAGGTGTTAAATGATCTTTTTAGTTTTTGCTTTCTTTTCATAGAAAATGTACCTTTGAACACAAGCAATTGCTGTAACAAGCAACTCAAACAAATGTTTGGGATACCCTCAACATTTTTTTTTTAAGTTTGGATTTTCATACACTTTTTCCCTTCAATTTTTCCCTTTTAGCAAGCATGCAATGACTTAATTTGAGGATGAACAAAATATAAAATAATGCTAATTAAAAAAAAGGAAAAAGGACAAATGACAACATCAAAAGACTTTAAAAAAAGAATAAAAATTCAACAAATTAGTATCAAAAAACGTAAAGGGAAAGAAAAAATGTTGGTTTTTTTGCCCATTTCAGAAGTAAAATACTTTTTTCTTAATACTATTTCAATTTTGAAACTGGGGCATTCAACCCTGATGTGTCCCCTGATTTATTCTGACGAAAAAATAGCTCTTCATACAAAACTGTGTATATGTACAAGACTTAATCTATAAACAACACTGACAAAGGTAGAGATGATGGATCTTGTATGAATAGGGTGTTGAATTTTTTTTTACTTAAATTTATCTGAATGGGGTTTAAATGACAGGAGCCTGAACGATTCAGGTTTACAGACAGACTCCTGTCCAGTATATACACAATACAACAGTAGTTTGTGTGACCAAAAGAGCTATGAGTCCCTGATTTTCACTTGGCTGAACTAGTTTTAGCCACAGGCCACATAGCTTTGTACCGTTTGGCCTCTGGTACCAAAAAATTTAGACCAAACAAGTTGAACGGAAAATCAAAACGTGAAAATCAACCGAAGAACAGATTCCCCTCCCCCTAAACAAACAAACAAGCAAACAAAGCAAATGGGTGAATAAATATAAAACCACAAAACCGCTGCTTTGTAAATGCTTAAAACAATCGATCCATTATTTTCTTGTGTGAATGCACGTTAGCGCAAAAAAATGGAGGGGCATCGAGATGAAGAAGGTGTGGCGTTTACAGTACTTAAAACTGGACAACAACAATGATATCGATCATATAATTTTCAAAACAGATCTCCCTGACATATAACATCTCTCGACATTAAATTATCTTACTTCATTCACATCATGACTGGGACTCCTTCAGCTAGCTGTCTTTTTAATCTACGAAGAGCAAAGCCTAGCTGTGTGGCACGGCTCACGGAGAAGTTGGCAGGATGCTCTATCCGTGACTGTCAATCTCTGCCACCCGTGCCACAAATAGAAGCCTTAATACTCTATAATAACTAAAAGTCTGTGACCACTTTGCAGCAAACCTTCTCCCAGCATAAAACTTACTCGGGGATCCTCTGAGACACTGATTTGGTTTCTGAATGTTATTGTATTTACCAGCCACTCAGGCTACTGACACGCTTAATAAAAAGTCAAGGAGCCTATATCCTCATGGGTAGACTTATATTATTACAGAAATCCTGGAAGGCCTTGTGTCATGATTGTTTTCACCAAACAACCAAGGAGGCATTGCGATCCAAGGATGTCGTGTTCTGCTGCACTGTCTCGCTTCTCCCATGACACCGTGCGGATAGGAAAGCATCCCTCTCTGTCCAAACGTAAGCAAAACACCCTTCTTCTAGTCACCCTACATACAGTAACATACAAAACATCCTGTATATATACTAAACATTTTCTCTCTTTAGTCGAACCTTCATTTTTTTAATTCCTCTTTTTAAAATTTCATGATTGAGCGATTGTCTCGTTCTTAAAATTTGACATTAACATTAAATTGCTGTATATAATACTACACTATTGTAGTATGTAAAATGTATACTTTGTCATAATTTCACTTAAATGTCAATAATATACCTACATAGAAATATATATGTAAATTCTTTATAATACCAAATATTCTGTATTTGTAATGTGAGAAATTATAGCTGGTTCATTTGGGTTGTCATGATTTGTTTAAGTTAGACAATGTTCAGCTGCAGAGTGATGTGTGGAGGATGCTAATGTGACTAAAATCTTCTTGGAAGGGAACCTGAATCATTACTTTTGGGAATCAACATTATAGAATCTGCCAATAGCATTATGGGGCTTTAAGAGACACAAAGAGGGTGAAAGATACAGTAAGAAGAGGGAACTTAATCGGAAGGCTTGCAAATTGACAATAATACTCAAACTATGGAGGACAGTGTGTGTGTGTGTGTGTGTGTGTGTGTGTGTGTGTGTGTGTGTGTGTGTGTGTGTGTGTGTGTGAGACAGGATGGCCACACAGCTTCATACTGGCTATGGTAGTCTTCATATTCATAAACACAGAGGTTTTAGCTCCTCGGTTACAGTCAGTATTTCAAAATGACCACAGAATCGCTTCCTGGTTTTTCGCTGTGCAGCTCCTGCGGGAGCTGAGTGGAGCTGAGCACCAGCCGGCTGGAACTGTTAGTTGGAGTTAGTAGTTCTTTTATAAGAGTCCCACATGAACATGAAAAGTAGGGTTAGCTGGGTCTCTGTCTGGGAGAACATCTTTCCCAAGGTAAATCAGACAGGATGCTGGGCAGTTCACCATTAATTGGGTTTGAAGAAAAAATGGTTGCATGCCCATTCAGACCCAGATCGCAGAGCGCCAGAGTGGGGCTGGCTGAGGAGTGGGACAGCAGTCTGTGCAGAAGAATGGACTACACCAGCGTGTATGACTTGGAGTAGGCCCCCACACTCTGTTTCTGCAACCTCCCCAGTGCAGAGGAGCTGCTCTCTAGGAGCGAGTCTCTGGAGCCCCCCACCTTGTTACTGTTGGTGGGGTTGCTGCTCGTGCTGGAAGTGGAAGCTGTTGCTGCATTATTGGAGCTGGGCATGGTGAGAGTCCTTTGAGGCAAGGTGGCAGTGCCAGAGCTCGCACCCAAGCTGCCCAGCCCAGAGTGGCCCAGTGTCTGGGCCTGCTGCTTCGCAGGGTCTAGAGTCTTGTGACGGCCCTGGGTGTGATACGCCCGCTGCGTCAAGCTGCGGATCGACGCTTCTCGCGGCGGCACTGCTGGGCATGGGTCATGCAGCTCCCCTTGCTTGCGGAAAAATGGGTCTGTCTTCATGTAAAGGGGTAGGTTACAGAATTCACCTAAAAAAGCCACAGAAGAGTCAGGACAAAACCATACAATTCATTCATATGAGTAATAACCACTTCCTATAACGGACACAAGTTGGATATTTTGCTTGTGTATCACAAGTCTGTTACGTGCATGCAATTATTAGTGCTATTAAATATTTTTTGATTCATCCTTGAATCATCCAGAGTAGCAATAATTCATTGGCTTGCACATTTATCTTCATTGTGTAATAAAAACCTTTCTTTGTTTATACAAATGCCAACTTTACACAGAGACCTTTTATTCCCATTACAATATTTCCAATCTGAATATTCTGACCTGATCACACCTCTTTGCCCTTCATTGTGTCTAATGAAAGGCAAATGGCAAAAGTACAGAACAGAGCAGGCATCAGTGATATGAAAGTCAGATACAGTGGCTTGCAAAAGTATTTGGCCCCCACAACTTTCCACATTTTGTCACATTACAGCCACAAACATGAATCAATTTTATTGGAACTCCATGTGAAAGACCAATACAAAGTGGTGCACATGTGAGAAGTGGAATGAAAATCATACATGATTCCAAACATTTTTTACAAATAAATAACTGCAAAGTGGGGTGTGCGTAATTATTCAGCACCCTTTGGTCTGAGTGCAGTCAGTTGCCCATAGACATTGCCTGATGAGTGCTAATGACTGAATACAGTGCACCTGTGTGTAATCTAATGTCAGTACAAATTAGAGATGGCACGATACCACTTTTTTATGTCTGATACCGATATCATAAATTTGGATATCTGTCGATACCGATATGAATCCGATATAGTGTGTTTTTAATCAATAAAACGTATTTTTTAATATCTTGCTGCTTTTTGTATAAGTTCATACTCAAGTTAAAAAACAAAACAAAACACTAAAGCTATTCTGTTATACCTGTATGCAAAAAATACACTGCACCCAAAATATTTCATAGTTCAGCAAAACTGATCAATCTAATAAACTTAAACCTGCACCAGCCTCCCTATTCTGGTATTTTAAAGAGTAAGCAACCTAACCAATAGGGCTCTAAAACTCCCAGCAAAAAAAAACAAACAAAAAATAGGGAACCACCCTCCACCTCATGATGCTTAATCGACGTAATCAACTTTAATTTGATGCAGTGTGAAAAAAATGCACAGAAATCTATTAATTTTGAAGAATAATTAAATAGATTCAACATCTTTCTTCAACAGAACTGCAGACTGCACAGATCATCCCTTCCCAAAGGAAAAAGTACTATAGCTTACTAGGGTATATTAGACTTAACAGTTACTATATACAGTAATG